GACGCACCCTCTGAGAGGCCATGCTCCTTGTTCACCCCAGGCCCTTGGAATTGAAAGTGAGGATGACTTGTATAAGCTGGTGAACTTCTTCCTCAAATACCAAGCTCATCATCTGCCCTGGAACCAGGTAAGGGGCGCGGCCAGGAAAAAGTTTTCAATCCTCCCAGGGCCCCTAGAGGGCGCTGCTGCCTTTGAGTAATAAAAAGAAGAACCCGAACCCAGTGTTCTCACAAGGATGCAGGGCCCTTTGGACAGAGGCGGTGTGTGTGGGGGCTATCATATTTATGGGAGAAGACTACTACTTCTTTCTTCCACAGAGAGGCTGGCGGGTGCCAACCCCTGTGGGTGGCTCAACCCCCGTGTCATCAGGGCCCCTTGTTTGACTAGTGTGGGGTGAGCTAACGTAGCAGTTCTCTTAGTATGATGAGCTTACTCAACTCACAGGAGCCCTGATGGCGTAGTGGTTACACATTGGGCTGAAATCCCCAAGGTCAGCAGTTCGAAACCACTCTGAGGGCGGGGGTGGAGGGGGGTGTTTTCTACTCCCATAAGTGTAACCTTCTCAAAAACTCACAGGAGCAGAACTGCCAAGGGTCGTTCAGAGTCAGCATCGGCTCGATGGCAGTGGGCTTACTCCATTGACACATGGAAGCATGGCCAGTGGTGAGATGCTCTTCTGATCCCGTGGCCCAGGGGGCGTCCCTCAAAGTCAGGCCTCAGCCCCGCCAAGTTCTGAATACTTTGATCCTTAACACTGTCTGAAAAACAGGGCTTGTTTGTAATACCTCTCCAGGTAGTGATTTCAGCAGGAGAATCAAATACCAGCTATTTGGGGAAAAAATAATCAAATACCAGTTATTTGGGGAAAAAAGAAGCCTTTAAGTTAAAAGCCATTTTTCATTTAAAAAATTATTTTAAGTCACCAGTCCAGCATGAGTATCCCGATGCACCTCCCCAAAGAGTTGGCTATGTGAGAGCTTGATGGTGCTGCAGGGTAAGCATTGGACTGCTAAGCCTCAAGGTTGGTGGTTCAAATCCACCAACTGCTCTGTGGGAGAAAGAGGAGACTGTCTGCTCTTGTAAAGAGTTATGGCCTCAGGAAACTTACATAGGGTTACTGTGAGTCAGAATCTAGAGGGATGGTAGGGAGTTTTTGTTTGTTTGTTTGTTGTTTATTTGTTTCAATCTGAGTGGACAAAGCCCAGGGGGCCATAAAGGATACAAAAGGACACATCTGATTCCATTTAAAGAAACCTGTAGGACAAAAACCAGTATAAGCAAGGTTAAGGATATAGGACACACGGGAGATTTTCGTCCCACACTGTAGTTAAGGGCTGATGGCCTTGCTGTAGAAAGAGCTGCTGTAAACCAATAAGAGAAAGACCAGTAACTCAATGGTAGATGAGGGTATGAGCACACACCTCATAGAAGGGGTGGTACAAACCCATTTCTAAACGTCTGAAAAGACCACAGTATTCATTTGTAAGATGAGAAATACGCATCAAAACTGCCCCGAAGGTACACTGGTACAGATGGGAACTGAAAATACAGGGAATCCAGGACGGATGAGCCCTATAGGACCAGTGGTGTGAGTGGCAAAACAGGGAGGGTAAAGG